AATGGAATATGGAAGCCGCAACCGAAAGATACTGTAATCCATGGTGGTTTTATCTTAAATATGAAGTCCAGGGACAGTTATAAATTACAGGTTTAGGTGCAATTCTTTACAGTGTGTTTTCTTAGAGAATGATCAACCGTTCCTCTCATTGTTATAGTTCCTATATCATAATTGTCAAGATTTGATTGCCTGCTGATTCTATGTGATACTTTTGCATTTTGATTATCAAGGCTGTCTCACCAAGTGTGTTTTTGTTCTCACATCACCAGAGAAACTGTCCCAGGCCAAAGAGGAGAACCTGAACATGCATCAAGTGCTCGACCAGACTCTTCTAGAGCTCAACAACCTGTGAAGATGAAGTCCTGCAGCGACGGGCCTGACGCAGATCTGTCGATCTCTTATAGTCACACACTTGCTTTTTGCTTTACAAACAATGTCTTGTACCAGTAGCAAAGCCAGCAGTACTTTAAACAAATCATCTACTTGGATTTTTAATATTTGTAATAGATTCATTGCGACTGTCTAATTTGGTTTGATTTATTCTAAACATCATGTTTACTACAAATGTCAACTTTTTGACCTCAACTGATAAATGCTGTAATTCACCACTTTGGACTTTGGACCATACTAACTATTTAAAAGATCGGTTTTGCACTTTTGAGGTTACGACTTTTTAAGCTTTTTCATTGATTTGTACCAAAAATGCACAACCTGTGATTGTAACGATTGTGTCTCAAATCACCTGTAAATGAAGGAATGCTCATGCAGTGCTGCAAACTTGTGGCCTTTTTGTGAAATTTACTGTTCTGAACGCAGAATCTGTTTTTGACGTGATTTGTGTGGATCTCATGGGGGGGAGGGTCCAAAAATTAAATTGTGCTGATGTACCCTTGCTTGTACAGGCCTACATCAATTTAAAATGTTGTGAAAAAGCATTAGGTGACAATAAAGCATTAGTCATAATGAAATCAAATTGGGCCTGTATGATATGGCTTATGTTTTTGACTATAATAATAACTACTTCAAATGTTTGCAAACTGTCTTTTGTCGATTTGACCAAATCTGTGAAGCGTCCTGTAACAGCACATTGAATAACACACACTAATCGCGGTGATGATCGTAATACTAATGATGGGAATGATGTCACTTTATGTGAAAGAATGCAATGGATTTGATTAATTGTGGGACATTACTTTTGGTTTAAAAGTCTCATTGTTTAAAACTCCTCTAATCCAATCACTATATAGTAAATCCTACAAAAATCAATGGAAATATTTGGTATGTAAAAGGGATATAGTTTAAGAAACAACTTCCGGGTCATTCAGTGAAAATGTAACAGATTATTCTTACACGCCTTTTAAAATAATTCCTTCAGTTTTAAGAAGCAGCACCCATTTATGTATCCTATGCAATTGTTTGCGCTGTTTGATTAAAATGATTAAAGTAATGAAAATAGAACTTTGCCTTTTGACGATTTGTTTGCATGCCAATGTTTTTATTGTAAAGTTAATAAGTCTCTTAAGTCTGACTCAGTGGTGACAGATGAAAAGACTGAATTAAAACAGTTTATGGAGCGATTAGTGACTGTATTTGTGCCTTGCCATAGTAAGTGTTTATGCACAGCTTTAGTGAGGAAAGAGATTCACACTTAATGAATGAGGCATTTATATAGCGCTTTCATATGTACTACTGTACACCCAAAGCGCTTTACAATCATATCAGTGGGTCTCCTCAACCCCACCAGTCAGAGCATAAGTAACACACTGTTGTGCCTTTGCTTTCATATTTTTTGTCATTTAGGTGTAAGAGAACCCCTTAAAAACCTCAATACTCCAGAGAATCGTCCTGAACTCCAGACTTGATATGGATATGTAACAAATGCATGAACAAGTTTTCAGAAAAGGGACTAAATGAGACTAAAACATGCCCGTTCTGCTCTGACTAACGGTCAGCACTATTTGCCCAACACTGAGATTAAGACAGACAGGATATTATTATAGAAATCCTCCATTTACACACACACACACAAAATCACCTACCTTACCTTCAGTTGCTGCCTTACATTTTTAAGTACAATCATCTTGGTTGGTTATGTAAGTCATTTCAACATAAATATTAAAGTGACTTTAAAAATCAAGTTGAATATCGTATAACTTAGAAAAAAAGTTGCTTAAATTATTTTGATGAGTTAAAGTAGTGTAAAAGCATACGTTGCCATGACTTACTGCTCATATCATTTTATCAAACCGTTGTTGCTATATAATATTAACTTTTATAGTTCTATTCATGAGATTTAATCCAATGATGCATTCTTCCATTAACCCTTAAACAGGCAGCGTGCACCGCAGGATACACACATCTCTTGTAGGAGGCATGAGAAAGAATTCATTTAATTCTGTGATCATTATCATAATTGATTATAAAGTTTGGTGTATGTGTGTCACATGACTTGGTTCAAATGTTCTGTGCTCGTTATTTTGTCAGTTTGACCTAAAGCCAACACGTCCGCCCACAGTGCTGGACACTCCGACTGTAGGAAGTAATAGGGCAGCTTATCATGGGAGATACAATCCAAACTATATCAAATATTTCAAAAATGATATTTGATCAAATTCGGTCTGTTAACTTATGAGTTCTCTTCAGAAGTTTTCCTTTTCTCTTTATTCGCATATTACGATCCTCTTTCCACCAAGGTACAATCTTGTCTTTCCTCCTCTCTTTACTGGAATATTAATGAAATTTTGTGTTAATGACACTGCAAGTTTATAATTTCAATGCCATAAACTCAGTGCTTTAAGTGGGCCGGTACACACCGGTACTCAGTATCGCGATATAGCTCTTGAGCGTACCGCCACCTCTGTGCGCCCAGAACGTGCTTTTAGCGTACCGGTACGCTCATTTGCACATCTGTTTTAATCCTTTGGCTGCACTGCCGCTTTTCAGAGCTCCCTTCACAATGCACGCCTCCTAATTCGTCCCACCGAGAGCCGAGACTACATTACCCTTCCACAGAAGATATACACTCACCTAAAGGATTATTAGGAACACCATACTAATACTGTGTTTGACCCCCTTTCGCCTTCAGAACTGCCTTAATTCTACGTGGCATTGATTCAACAAGGTGCTGAAAGCATTCTTTAGAAATGTTGGCCCATATTGATAGGATAGCATCTTGCAGTTGATGGAGATTTGTGGGATGCACATCCAGGGCACGAAGCTCCCGTTCCACCACATCCCAAAGATGCTCTATTGGGTTGAGATCTGGTGACTGTGGGGGCCATTTTAGTACAGTGAACTCATTGTCATGTTCAAGAAACCAATTTGAAATGATTCGAGCTTTGTGACATGGTGCATTACCCTGCTGGAAGTAGCCATCAGAGGATGGGTACATGGTGGCCATAAAGGGATGGACATGGTCAGAAACAATGCTCAGGTAGGCCGTGGCATTTAAACGATGCCCAATTGGCACTAAGGGGCCTAAAGTGTGCCAAGAAAACATCCCCCACACCATTACACCACCACCACCAGCCTGCACAGTGGTAACAAGGCATGATGGATCCATGTTCTCATTCTGTTTACGCCAAATTCTGACTCTAACATCTGAATGTCTCAACAGAAATCGAGACTCATCAGACCAGGCAACATTTTTCCAGTCTTCAACTGTCCAATTTTGGTGAGCTCTTGCAAATTGTAGCCTCTTTTTCCTATTTGTAGTGGAGATGAGTGGTACCCGGTGGGGTCTTCTGCTGTTGTAGCCCATCCGCCTCAAGGTTGTGCGTGTTGTGGCTTCACAAATGCTTTGCTGCATACCTCGGTTGGAACGAGTGGTTATTTCAGTCAAAGTTGCTCTTCTATCAGCTTGAATCAGTCGGCCCATTCTCCTCTGACCTCTAGCATCAACAAGGCATTTTCGCCCACAGGACTGCCGCATACTGGATGTTTTTCCCTTTTCACACCATTCTTTGTAAACCCTAGAAATGGTTGTGCATGAAAATCCCAGTAACTGAGCAGATTGTGAAATACTCAGACCGGCCCGTCTGGCACCAACAACCATGCCACGCTCAAAATTGCTTAAATCACCTTTCTTTCCCATTCTGACATTCAGTTTGGAGTTCAGGAGATTGTCTTGACCAGGACCACACCCCTAAATGCATTGAAGCAACTGCCATGTGATTGGTTGATTAGATGATTGCATTAATGAGAAATTGAACAGGTGTTCCTAACAATCCTTTAGGTGAGTGTATGTACATGCTTTAATATTCAGACCGCTTCTATTATTGATTGCTATCAGGATGTGAAGAGACTTTCAACCAGTACAACAAAAAGTGTTTATAAAACAAATAGCCTACCCTGCCTTTAAGTTTGAAATATATACCTGACTTTGATTTCAAAACTATAAAATATTTGTCTTTTTCTTTGAATTATGATGGTGAATTTTTGGTTAACAATATTGTGCTGTTGGCCAATTACTTCATTCATAAATGCAGATTCTCCTGAGAAAGAGTCGTCCCGCATTGATGTAATGATCTTCTTCAAATCTTTAAAACTCATGCATATATATATAAAAAAAGCCCTTAAACAACGTAATCTTTTAAAGGTATTTTTTGATAATAACCCCCTTGTGTAGGCCTAATATTGAATGTTTTTAATTTATTTTTATTTTTTAATATTTCTTATTTGGACTTTATGGAATTGTATTAAGGTTTGTGTGTTTTTAGCTTTGTTTGGTGTCTTGTATCTTCCTTCAAGCAATAATAATAAAAAAAACCTTGCCTGTTTCCTAGCGACAGCGGCACTCAGCGGCGGGAGCGCGCGGCGCAGGCACGTGAACCCGGAAGCGCAAGCCAGTCATTTAAACGAAACAAAACCCCTCGGAAGTGTCGCGTGTGTGTTTTTTATTCGGGAAAGAGAAACTGAAGATTAAGTTTAAAAATGTTACCGAACAAAGCGCTGACTGAAGAACGATCTAAACCGCTCCACTGTTCTCGGATTTATTAGTTTTGATGGACCGATTCTGAATGTGTCTGTGTAGGGGAATTCTGGGATCAGTATTGTATTGTAACGCTCTTAAAACGATCTCTGATTGATGGAGAATTAAGTGAATCTGTCTCTAGGCATTGTTCGTGTTTGGTGTGTTTGTGTTCGACTGTTGACTGTGTGAAGGGGAAGGTGCTCGTCCAGAATGACTCTGGCAGTGTTTTTTGGCTGTGCGTTCATAGCGTTTGGTCCAGCTTTCTCCCTGTTTGTGTTCACTATCGTCAAAGATCCGCTGAGAATCATCATTCTGATCGCAGGGTGAGTCACGTGATCACACCAAACTCACACCATCCACAGTCAAACACTTTAATGCGTTTAACAAAAGCGTGTTTTATTCATGCATGTATTATTCAGTGACATGGAGGACACACAGTTGCTTTTGATAAGATATTTTTCATTAAACATTATAATGTTCAACAAGTCAGCAGTTTATGAACATTCATATGTTAAAATAAGTCCATGACATGAGTGAAGATCTGCATGTTTGTGAGGAGGCAGCAGTGGAGAGCTGGATCATGTGTGTGTGTGTGTATGTGTGTTTCAGGGCGTTCTTCTGGCTGCTGTCTCTGCTGCTGTCCTCTCTGGTGTGGTTCATCGCTGTGAAGGCCAGTAACGGGGCGCAGGACCCCACCCTGCACAGGGCACTGCTGATTTTTGGGGTTTTCTTCTCGGTCTTGCTCCAGGAAGTGTTTCGCTTTGCCTACTACAGACTGCTTAGGTAAGACTCATTATGGTGTGCCATAAATGATAAGAAACCCTCAGTGCCAAACATGACATAGTTTCACGTAGTCTCTATATGAACGGCTCAGATTCCAGAACTGCTTAAGGCTAAGGATTATAACTAACAGATATCATCACCATACACTTCCCCACTTGATTAATCACAGTACTTTAAAAAACTGGGGAACATTTTATTTTAGGTGAGGTAGTTACACGTTACTAGTACTAATGCTGTCAGAATTGATTAGTCGTGATTAATCACATCTAACATAAAAGTTTGTGTTTATATAGTATATGTGTGTGTGTGGATCAAAAAAGCTCATCAAAGTTGTCCTAAGACAAGAACGGGTATTGTTCAAAATTCATGTATAACTTTTGGTTTTGATCCACTTCAAATGTTGACTACTGTATACATATTATATTTATATGTATATTATATATGTGCGTGTGTATATTTTTCGTTGTTCCACCAGGAAGGCCAACGAGGGTCTGGCAGCCATTAGTGATGAGGACGGTTTGGACATCTCGGTCCGGCAGATGGCTTACGGTAAACTGTGTTCCTGTCACTCTTGCTGCCTGTGGACGGTCACTGGAAGGCCCCCGTGGCGGGTTTATCATCAGGTGCTCTGTGTGTTTTGTGGGCAGTGGCTGGACTGGGCTTTGGCATCATGAGTGGTGCGTTCTCCATGATCAACATCCTGTCCGACTCTCTGGGTCCCGGGACGGTCGGCATCTTCGGAGACTCTCAGTATTACTTCATTACAGCAGGTGAGCTCCTGCAAAGCCTCATGGGCCGCACAGATAGCCAGAGTAATCAACAGCTTCAACCACGAGGTGTGGTGTTTTTACACTTGACCAATGACACAAAACCAATGTACAAAAGCTGTATATTCTGTAATGATTATCGTGCTGGGAGCAAGTGAGGTTACACTTGATGTCACATGGGTCACTCACAGAAAACATCTGAAACATTTGTTTTGGAAAAAAAATATTCTGACACCCTTGAAATGGGTTTTAAAAAAAATCAGTCTAGAATCAGTTTTATTAAAAATTAATCTTAAGCATATTATAAAGGTTTGTAGTATTTTATCAATCTATTGTAACCCAGATTTGGCCGTGAAATATAGAAGCACAGCTTCCTTTAATGTGTCACAGAGTAAAGGTCATGTTGTCAGGTTAAACATCCATGTAGGAACACACGTCATGGCCATACTACAGGATGACAATGTCAAGATTCATCAGGCTCAGACTGTGAGAGAATGGTTGAGAAGAGCTTGAAGAATCATTTGCACACATGAGTCCAGAGCTTAAATCCACTGGAAGTGTTTGGGATGTGCTGGAGGAGGCTTTACAGAGAGCTGGACTCTTGCATGGACTATACCAGATCTTGAGCAAACATTGATGCACCTCTTAAATAACATCACAACACTTATATTTGGCCATGATGTGTGTTCCTACATGGTTGTTGAAGAAATGAAAAGCTACACACTCCATCAGTTAGTGTTAGAAGAACTGTTGCCAAACATATAACATGCTAGAAATATAATAATCACTGCAATAATGATCCAGTCGTAGTAGACTCCTTAGCATTTGCATATTTTAATCCAAACGGCGTTTTTTTTGGCAGTGTATATTATATTATCAAAAGTACATCCATATCATTTTTCTTGATTGTTTCAGTATTATCATTAAATACTGCCGTGTTTATTGACACAAGTTTTTAGTGAAGCCATGAAACCAGCTCTGATGTGTTGATGGCTCTCTTTTCAAACTCCAACAACAGAAACACCTCAGATTTGAAACTGGTTTAAGATTACACCATCATGTACAGAAACATCCTTGCTTCACCCAAGGTTATTATAGTTAACTAAAATGAAAACCATCAAAAAACATTCCTTGAAATGACAAACACTTATTTTATTTCTGCTAGTTGCCAATGAATGCAGCATGTCTCATTTTCATGTACATTAAGGTGATGTGCTAAAATAACTATACGGAAATAAAAGCGATTATTATTGTGACCTGGTGTTGTGAAGCCCTGCTTTAAGGCGTGCGTGTGTGTGTGTGTGTGTGTGTGTGTGTAGCGCTGATGACCCTGGCGCTGACGCTGCTGCACACTTTTTGGGGTGTTGTGTTCTTCGAGGGCTGTGAGAAGAGCCGCTGGTGGGTCATCGCTGCTGTCGTCGCTCTACACCTGCTCGTCGCTGGCCTGGTGAGCTTCACACACACACACACACACACACACACACACACACACACACACACACACACACACACACACACACTGTTCTGAACTTGTGACCCGGTCTCTGATGTGAGGTCAAAGCCTTTCAATGCCAGGCCACAAGTTCCATATTCTTTTAGCAATAGTTTTCTATATTAGGTTAATTGATATAAATCCTAAAAGTGACAGTAAAGACATTTATAATGTTACAAAAGCTTTCTATTTCAAATAAATGCTGTTCTTTTTTAACTCTCAATTCATCAAAGAAACCTGAAAAATAAAATGTTTAATAAAATAAAAACCGTGATTTTGTGGAAATCACGGTTTCCACAAAAATATGAATCAGCACGACTGTTTTCAACACTAATATGATGAAACATTTCTGATTATCATCAGAGTGATTTCTGAAGGATCATGTGACACTGAAGACTGGAGTAATGATGCTGAAAACTCAGCTTTGATCACAGGAATAAATTACATTTGACTATATATTCACATTGAAAACAGGTATTTTAAATTGTCATAATATTTCACTGTTTTTAATGTATTTTTAATCAAATAAATGCAGCCTTGGTGAGCAGAAGAGACTTCGACTTCATAGGTTGATGTGCGGTATATAAAGTGTGATGCTATAAAGTCACACCAGACATTTGATCTGCACACATGCTGATTCATGATAATGCTTTGCTCAGATGTCTAATGTTTCTCTGGAGGATCACTTTACCTGAAACCCTCATGATGTCACAGGAGCGGGATCGTGGGCTTTGCTCATATGCACAGCTGGGATTATCCGCGGGCCTCGCTAAACAAACTTTCCCCAGAAAGTGTAATTGCTCAGATTGTTTTTTTTTTTATAGCTTGGCAGACTTTGACCCTGTTTATGCCTTATAATAACATGCATCTCAAATAATGAATGTCAAGCCACCTTTATTTGTATAGCGCTTTTTACAATACAGATCGATTCAAAGCTCCTTTACAGTGATAACAGGAAAATAATGATCAATGATGCAAACAAAGCTCAGTTCAGCTGTAAAACAGTTATAATAAGAAATAGTGTCATTGTTCAGTTCAGTGTTGTTCAGTTCAGTGTTGATTCAGTATATTTGTAAAGATCATCAATTATGAAAAGAGTTAATTTAATCTAAAGCAGCTCTGCAGAAAACAGCTCAGTTCAGTTCTCGTCCAACAGTCAGATCAATAATACTGTTGAATATTAGCCAGAGACGACAGTGGCAAGATCCCAAACTCCATTAGTGACTGAAATGGAGGAAAAAACCTTGGGAGAAACCAAGACCAGTTCATCTCTGGCCAAAGTAAACAACATGGTGTGCTTATGATTCAGGCTGCATCACAAGTCAGGTTATGGATTTATATCATTGAGAATATTTGCTCCAGCTCCTCCTGTCCTGATCAGATTTGTTCTCTGATGTCCTCTGTCTCTCTCTCTCTCTCAGTCTCTGTTGAACCCGCTGTATGAAGGCAGTCTTCCTCCAGTGTACGGCATCACGCTCCTGATGGCCATCTGGGCCTTCTTCTCATCTGGAGGATCTCTACACAACCTTAACGCACTCTGCACACGTAAGACGTGACCTTATACATGCTACATCATGCTCCTTGTGTGCCTCACTTGCTGGATTTGACTGGTTCTTGAGGGTTTATGGTGTCGTTCTGAAGTGTGACCTCTGTATCAGTGTTCCTCAATCCTCCAATTATACTTATATAAAAAAAATGTCCTGGCTCTTCCCAGATTTATAATGGCAATGAATGGCTGTTTCTGTTTTGAAGTCCGTAAAAGTGCATCTATCCATGATAAAAGTGCATCTATCCATGATAAAGTGCATCTGTTCATGATAAAAGTGCATCTATCCATGATAAAAGTGCATCTATCCATGATAAAAGTGCATCTACCCATGATAAAAGTGCATCTACCCATGATAAAAGTGCATCTACCCATGATAAAAGTGCATCTGTCCATGATAAAAGTGCATCTGTCCATGATAAAAGTGCATCTGTCCATGATAAAAGTGCATCTGTCCATGATAAAAGTGCATCTGTCCATGATTATAGTGCATCTATTCTTGATAAAAGTGCATCTGTCCATGATAAAAGTGCATCTATCCATGATAAAAGTGCATCTATTCTTGATAAAAGTGCATCTGTCCATGATAAAAGTGCATTTGTCCATGATAAAAGTGCATCTGTCCATGATAAAAGTGCATCTACCCATGATAAAAGTGCATCTGTTCATGATAAAAGTGCATCTGTCCATGATAAAAGTGCATCTGTCCATAATAAAAGTGCATCTATCTATGAAAAAAGTGCATCTGTCCATGATAAAGTGCATCTATCCATGATAAAAGTGCATCTGTCCATGATAAAGTGCATCTATCCATGATAAAAGTGCATCTGTCCATGATAAAAGTGCATCTGTCCATGATAAAGTGCATCTGTCCATGATAAAGTGCATCTATCCATGATAAAAGTGCATCTGTCTATGATAAAAGTGCATCTGTCCATGATAAAAGTGCATCTACCCATGATAAAAGTGCATCTGTCCATGATAAAAGTGCATCTGTCCATCATAAAAGTGCATCTGTCCATGATAAAAGTGCATCTATCCATGATAAAAGTGCATCTGTCCATCATGATAAAAGTGCATCTGTCCATCATAAAAGTGCATCTACCCATGATAAGTGCATCTATCCATGATAAAAGTGCATCTGTCCATGATAAAGTGCATCTGTCCATCATAAAAGTGCATCTATTCATGATAAAAGTGCATCTATTCTTGATAAAAGTGCATCTGTCCATGATAAAAGTGCATCTGTCCATGATAAAAGTGCATCTGTCATGATAAAAGTGCATCTGTCCATGATAAAAGTGCATCTATTCTTGATAAAAGTGCATCTGTCCATGATAAAAGTGCATCTGTCCGTGATAAAAGTGCATCTATTCTTGATAAAAGTGCATCTATCATGATAAAAGTGCATCTATCATGATAAAAGTGCATCTGTCCATGATAAAAGTGCATCTGTCCATGGTAAAAGTGCATCTGTCCATGGTAAAAGTGCATCGGTCCATGATAAAAGTGCATCTGTCCATGATAAAAGTGCATCTATCATGATAAAAGTGCATCTGTCCATGATAAAAGTGCATCTGTCCATGATAAAGTGCATCTGTCCATGATAAAAGTGCATCTGTCCATGGTAAAAGTGCATCTGTCCATGATAAAAGTGCATGTATTCTTGATAAAAGTGCATCTGTCCATGGTAAAAGTGCATCTGTCCATGGTAAAAATGCATCTAATCATGATAAAAGTGCATCTGTCCATGATAAAAGTGCATCTATTCTTGATAAAAGTGCATCTGTCCATGATAAAAGGGCATCTGTCCATGATAAAAGTGCATTTGCCATGATAAAAGTGCATCTAATCATGATAAAAGTGCATCTGTCCATTATAAAAGTGCATCTAATCATGATAAAAGTGCATCTGTCCATGATAAAAGTGCATCTATTCTTGATAAAAGTGCATCTGTCCATGATAAAAGTGCATCTGTCCATTATAAAAGTGCATCTAATCATGATAAAAGTGCATCTGTCCATGATAAAAGTGCATCTATTCTTGATGAAAGTGCATCTGTCCATGATAAAAGTGCATCTATTCATGATAAAAGTGCATCTATTCATGATAAAAGTGCATCTATTCTTGATAAAAGTGCATCTATTCATGATAAAAGTGCATCTATCCATGATAAAAGTGCATCTATTCATGATAAAAGTGCATCTATCCATGATAAAAGTGCATCTCTTCATGATAAAAGTGCATCTATTCTTGATAAAAGTGCATCTGTCCATGATAAAAGTGCATCTGTCCATGATAAAAGTGCGTCTGTCCATGATAAAAGTGCATCTATTCTTGAAAAAGTGCATCTATCCATGATAAAAGTGCATCTATTCTTGATAAAAGTGCATCGGTCCATGATAAAAGTGCATCTCTCCATGATAAAAGTGCATCTATTCTTGATAAAAGTGCATCGGTCCATGATAAAAGTGCATCTATTCTTGATAAAAGTGCATCGGTCCATGATAAAAGTGCATCTATTCTTGATAAAAGTGCATCTGTCCATGATAAAAGTGCATCTATCCATGATAAAAGTGCATCTGTCCATGATAAAAGTGCATCTATCCATGATAAAAGTGCATCTGTCCATGATAAAAGTGCATCTATTCTTGATAAAAGTGCATCTGTCCATGATAAAAGTGCATCTATCCATGATAAAAGTGCATCTATCCATGATAAAAGTGCATCTATCCATGATAAAAGTGCATCTATCCATGATAAAAGTGCATCTATCCATGATAAAAGTGCATCTATCCATGATAAAAGCGCATCTGTCCATGATAAAAGTGCATCTATTCTTGATAAAAGTGCATCTATCCATGATAAAAGTGCATCTATCCATGATAAAAGTGCATCTATCCATGATAAAAGTGCATCTATTCTTGATAAAAGTGCATCTGTCCATGATAAAAGTGCATCTCTCCATGATAAAAGTGCATCTGTCCATGATAAAAGTGCATCTATTCTTGATAAAAGTGCATCGGTCCATGATAAAAGTGCATCTATTCTTGATAAAAGTGCATCTATCCATGATTAAAGTGCATCTATCCATGATAAAAGTGCTTCTATTCATGATAAAAGTGCATCTGTCCATGATAAAAGTGCATCTGTCCATGATAAAAGTGCATCTATCCATGATAAAAGTGCATCTATTCTTGATAAAAGTGCATCTATTCTTGATAAGTGCATCTGTCCATGATAAAAGTGCATCTGTCCATTATAAAAGTGCATCTATTCTTGATAAAAGTGCATCTGTCCATGATAAAAGTGCATCTATCCATGATAAAAGTGCATCTATTCTTGATAAAAGTGCATCTATTCTTGATAAAAGTGCATCTGTCCATGATAAAAGTGCATCTATTCTTGATAAAAGTGCATCTATTCTTGATAAAAGTGCATCTGTCCATAATAAAAGTGCATCTATTCTTGATAAAAGTGCATCTGTCCATGATAAAAGTGCATCTATTCTTGATAAAAGTGCATCTGTCCATGATAAAAGTGCATCTATTCTTGATAAAAGTGCATCTGTCCATGATAAAAGTGCGTCTGTCCATGATAAAAGTGCATCTATTCTTGATAAAAGTGCATCTGTCCATGATAAAAGTGCATCTATTCTTGATAAAAGTGCATCTGTCCATGATAAAAGTGCATCTATTCTTGATAAAAGTGCATCTGTCCATGATAAAAGTGCATCTGTCCATGATAAAAGTGCGTCTGTCCATGATAAAAGTGCATCTATTCTTGATAAAAGTGCATCTATTCTTGATAAAAGTGCATCTGTCCATGATAAAAGTGCATCTATTCTTGATAAAAGTGCATCTGTCCATGATAAAAGTGCATCTGTCCATGATAAAAGTGCGTCCGTCCATGATAAAAGTGCATCTATTCTTGAAAAAGTGCATCTGTCCATGATAAAAGTGCATCTATCCATGATAAAAGTGCATCTGTCCATGATAAAAGTGCGTCTGTCCATGATAAAAGTGCATCTATTCTTGAAAAAGTGCATCTGTCCATGATAAAAGTGCATCTATCCATGATAAAAGTGCATCTATTCTTGAAAAAGTGCATCTATCCATGATAAAAGTGCATCTCTCCATGATAAAAGTGCATCTCTCCATGATAAAAGTGCATCTATTCTTGATAAAAGTGCATCTATTCTTGATAAAAGTGCATCTATTCTTGATAAAAGTGCATCTATTCTTGATAAAAGTGCATCTATTCTTGATAAAAGTGCATCTATTCTTGATAAAAGTGCATCTATTCTTGATAAAAGTGCATCTGTCCATGATAAAAGTGCATCTATTCTTGATAAAAGTGCATCTGTTCTTGATAAAAGTGCATCTGTCCATGATAAAAGTGCATCTATTCTTGATAAAAGTGCATCTGTCCATGATAAAAGTGCATCTGTCCATGATAAAAGTGTATCTGTCCATGATAAAAGTGCTCCAGGGGCCGTATTCACAAAGAATTTTATCTTACCACTAGGAGTACTCCTAAATCTTACTAAAATATTTTAGCTAGGAGTTTTCTCTTAAAAGTTATTCACAACGCCTTTCAGACCTACTCTTAGTAAGGAAAAATGACAACTCCTAAACTAAGAGTGAGTCTTCGTTGCTATGGATGACGTCACTTCTCATGCACGAGCCTCCTCGCAATGATCACGGTGATTGGTTGTTAGATGACAGGGCCATCATGCGGAACATAACAGACGCAACAAATCATGGATTTAGGACATCTAAATATGTCTGTGTCCTACACAAAATAATAATAGTAATGTCATCGAAATGTTTGTGCAGGCCCCAGTGAAGTGTAATTCTAACAAGGCAGAGAGAGAGAGAAGTCGTGAATTAAATTAAATTAAATCAAGGTAGCCTAATACCCCAATGAAAACCGCCACTTGCCTAATAATGAAAAAACGACACTTGCATTAACACTTGCTTGGTTAATTGACATCCTA